TGGTTCGGTGGTTTCTGGAGCAAATGGTAATGCTGCCAGTAAACTTGAACCTATTGCGATCTCATATTGCTATAATCTCATTCCTACAAGTTTAGAACATATCATAAAGGATTTATAGCTTTATGCGTAATTGTGTAACACATCATTTCTCTTTGAGAACAAGATTTTTGGCGTTGATTGGGGTTTTGACTTTAAAAGTTGTGGAAGCTTTAAGTTAATCCTAACGTTTATGCCAATTAGATTAGCCTTTCTAAAGTCTTAAAAGCTTCTTTAAATATCTCAAAGCCAAAATAATTGTTCATGCCTTGGTTTTCTCAAAGTCACAATTTATGGTTTTTTTTTTTTTTTATAACACTGGTGCAATGGTACAAAGCAAGTTCCAAAATAGTACAAAAGGGAAGAACATAGAAGATATGAGATATCATTAGACATCAACAGATAACGAAGAAGAAACCTCACCCAAAACCTTATAGCTGAGCCTCCAAAGCAAGTAGGTGATGTAGCCACACGGGTGCATTACGGGCGATGTAAGACTGGTGACGGTTATCGCGAGTGACACTTATAGCAATAGCGTCAGCTGCTTCATTGCGCTCTGGAACTGCGTGGTCTAAACTCCATGAATCTATCCTGGTGAGGAGAAAAGAAATATTGTGACGAATATGGCTGAAAATGAGGTGGTCATTTGGATGTGTAAGTGCGTCATGGAGGGTCTCGGAGGAAGTCTCGAAAATGATATTTGAGAAATGCAGATTGTGGACACATTCCACCGCCCAAAAAGAGACCACAAATCAGCCTCAATCTTTGTGCGCATATAAGAAAAAGACCGACGACTATGCATAACTGTACACCCATTTTCATCTCGTAAGATCCATGAAGCACCACTATGACGGTTAGAGTTTAACCAAGAGGAACCAACATTACATTTGAGGAAACCTTTGGGTGGTTTTTGCCATCGAATCATTATAGAAGGAGCCTCCAAAACATTTTCCTTTGCTCCTGAAAATGTATCAAACCATGTTGATTCCTCTTCATAGGCTTTCTTAGCAATAAAAGAAGCCTCGATATCTTTGGTTTCAAAAACAAAGGCATTTCTAGCTTTCCAAATTTCCCATAACAACCAAGGGAAAACATTCCTTGTATGAATATCCGTTGTTGAGTTTTTGACAATCATGATAAGATGCACAAAATTTAAAAATGTTGAATTCCGAGAAAAACCACCTAAAGGTATGGGGAAATTAGCTTGTTCCCAAGTAGCACGTGCTTTCGAACATGTAAAGAGAACGTGACATATACTTTCTGCCGCATTACCGCATACTGAACATGTTGGGTCTACCGGAATCCCCCGAGTATTCAATTGTTGTTTTACCGCTAAAGCACCAGATAGATCGCGCCACATAAAATGTTTTATTTTTGGTGGGGCTTTAACCTTCCATAGTTCTTTCCATAATTGTTTTTCAAGAGGAGTGAGAGAGTGCTCTGGAGGATGATCAAAGTCGACCAAAGCCTCTAACAATTTATACCCACTTCGAGTCGAATATGAGCCATTTGTTGTGAAACCCCATCTGATTGTATCTTCAAGTGACAGTGATGGTTTTAGAAGTAAGATCCTTTGAACGTCCTGTGCAGTAAAAGTTTGATTTAATAAATTAATATCCCACTGGCTCGATCCCTGCACAAATAAGTCTGAAACTTTTAGCGCTAGATTTATGGAACTATTCTCCAGGTACATTGGTGGCCGAGGAATAGTATCAATAATCCAATTTTCAGCCCAAACATTGGTATTAACCCCATTGCCAATATGTCGGTATAAACCTTGTTTTAATAATTCTCTACCGTGCATGATACTCCGCCATGCGTATGATGGACGTGTCCCCATACCACACTGCAGAAAATTTCCATTTTTAAAGTATTTGCCTTTCAAAATGCGAGAGACCAAAGAATCAGGATTATTCCAAATTCGCCCAGCTTGTTTACAAAGCAAAGCCTGATTGAAACGACCAATGTCATGGAACCCAAGACCTCCCTGTTCTTTGGGTTTACACAATTTTTCCCAGGAAACCCAGGGGATCTTCCTTTTTTTGTCCCCACTACTCCACCAAAACTCAATAATCGCACTCGTGATTCGTTCACAAAGACCTTTTGGTAACCGAAAGACTGACATTGCATATATTGGGAGAGCCAAAGCTACCGATTTTATTAAAACTTCCTTGGCCCCCATTGATAAAGTTTTGGAGTACCAACCTTGTAGTCTGCCTTCTAGTTTCTCTTTGATAAAATTTAAAAGATCTATTTTTGATCCCTGAAAACATTCAGGGAGACCGAGGTATGAACCTTCACCACCTTCCTTGTCAATACCCAAGAAGCTTTTTATATTTTCTTTTGTATCTTCGGCTACGTTTTTCCCAAAAATGATAGAGGACTTCAAAGGATTAATCATTTGCCCAAAAGCCTCCCCATAGACTTTCAGACAATCCAAAATTTCTACACTATCCTTAATAGAGGCTTCACATAAGAGCAAGCTATCATCCGCAAAAAGCAAATGATGGACTGAAGGACTATCTTTAGCTAGCTTTATACCATGTAATTTCCCATGTGCTTCAGCTTTGTTTAACAGATAAACCAAAGCTTCAGCACATAAGATGAATAAAAAAGGAGATAAAGGATCACCCTGACGTATTCCTCTCTCAGGTTTAATAAATCCATGAGATCGTCCATTTAGTAACACTGAAAAGGTGACAGTGGTGATGCATGACATAATCCAAACGACCCATTTCCGATCAAAATCCATTTTTTCAAGTTCAAGAAAATTCCATTCAACCCGATCATAGGCTTTAGACATATCTGTCTTAATAGCTATACTTTCTTTACCAATTTTATCATTGGTACCCAAGCCATGTACCAGTTCATGTGCTATAATAACATTATCTGTAATTAGCCTACCTCCAACAAAGGCCCCTTGAGTATCCGAAATTATGTTAGGTAAAATCGCTTTCATTCTATCACAAAGAATGCGAGAAATGATTTTGTATTGTACAGTGCAAAGACTAATGGGACGCATATCTTTCATCTCCGTAGGATGTAAAATTTTGGGTAATAAAAATAACTGTGTATGGTTCCAACCAGCAGGGAGTATGGATGTTTTAAAAAAAACCATGAACATCACCAATAATTTTATGTCCCACAATGTGCCAATATTTCTGGTAAAAATAACCAGTAAGACCATCTTCGCCGGGGGCGCTACTACTTTTGATACCAAAGGCTGTTTTTTTTATTTCATCGGGTGATACCTCTCTGGTTAACACTGCGTTCATTTCTGAAGTAACCCTAGTATCAAACCCTTCAAACAGAGTTTCCAAATCTCTTGGGTTTGAGCTTGTAAACAAATCTCTAAAATACTCAGTAGCAATATGACCTTTAGACCCTTCAGAAAAATGTTCATTACCAAAAATGTCTTTAAGCATTAAAATTTTATTTCGTATTTTTTTCCCTTTAACCACATTATGAAAGTAAGTTGTATTCCTGTCTCCTTCCCTTAACCATTATTCTCTACTTTTCTGCCTCCAAAAAATCTCTTCGTCCCTATAAGCCGTAGCCAATTCCTGTCGTAGTCTCCTTACCAAACTATAAACTGGGAATTGCTTTGAGCTCTCCTTGTCCAAATCAATTTGTAAACGTTCGATTCTTGATTTTGAATTCCAGTCATTGGTCTTTTTAAGCTTAGAGAGCTCCGACCGGCATCGAGCAATACGATCAAGAACACTTAAATCTGAGTTAGTATTTTCAACATCCCATCCACGAACAATGGCCTCCTCCACCCCTCTCTTTCCATGCATACGTTTATCAAAATAAAATCGACCTCTTTGTAAAGTTTCAGGTTCTAGTGCGAACTCTATTCGTATAGGTCGATGATCAGAAGGCCACATACTCATATAATCAGTAGACGATTGTGGAAAGAGTCTGAACCAATCGTCATTACCAAAAATCCTATCCAATCGACATTGTACCCAGTTATGATCCCTCATACCTGCCCATGAAAGAGTATTTCCTGTACTCCTCATCTCTCTAATTTTACATGCTTCAGCCATGTTCCGGAAATCAAAAAACGTGGATTCATCTCTAATAACCCCTCCCAATTTGTCACCATTATGCATTAGCTCATTAAAATCTCCAACCAAAATCCATGCCTCATCTCTACCCACACCAATGTCCGTTAATTTATCCCAAACATAACGTCTTCGTCCTCTTACTGGATCCCCATATACACATGAGAGAAAAAAAATCATGGACCCCATTGTCACTTTGAGATCAATAATTCTATTATCACTATACAAAATTTCAACTGTGTAACAGCCTTTCCACATTAAAGCTAAACCGCCGCTACGACCAATGGGTTCCACCGTGTGTAACCGATCATACCCCAAACTTGATTTTAAAACATCCATATAGGCTAACTTTTGTTTAGTCTCCATAAGAAAAAGAAAGTCCGAAAAAAACTGACGTTGTAAATCCCTTATTCGTTGAACGGTATCTGAGCCACCCGCCCCCCGACAATTCCAACTCAAAATACTCATTAAAAGATAATTGTTAAGAATGCTCCTTAGAGTCCATATTAATAGTTAATGATATCCAAATCATTAAACCTATAAAATTTAAACCACATCCAAGAAAGTACCAAGACAATTGTCCGCCATTGAAAGTTTCCAGAAACAAAACCATGAAACCAGTAATAAAAAGTATTAAAATAACCATAAACCATAAGAAACTAGAAGTCCTTATTTGTCTTTGTGGATCCCAAATTTGTACACAGACATTCCATTCATGTTGTTTTTTAATATCCCAATAACAGTGAATTAGAGACCTTATGTTATCTCTTATTAAAACATGAAATCTCCCAAAACCAATATAAAAATTTAACTTGAAGTCATGCGACACCATAACACCAAACCTTTCATATGCGAAGTGTAAAAAGGAACTTTTGTTACCTTTTATTAAATCGTGAGGCTTCACATAACCAACAAAATTATATAATTTTAGATCTGAAGTACTCTTAGAACAAAACCGAAGACAATTGTTTCTACCGTCTAAACTTATCGGGCCCATCATCTGGAAACCATCTAACCCCTTCCATAGCAAAAGAACCTTAGTAAGCATTACAGATGGATACCAACAATTTCCTTCATAAAAGTAAAACACCGTAAAACAAATTGTGTTAGTACAGGAGGCAAAAAACCTCGTACATAACCTATCCCATAGCCGGAACCGAAGACCATGCCTTATCGTCACCCACAAATCCTCATATTTATAAGAGAAAACCTGAATACATTTAAAGAGAAATTCATAGAGGACAAAAACCATCTCACTGCATACATAATAATACAGTCCTCCCTCAAAAGATATATGTTGCCACAGCATTTGTGATGAAATCCCACGCCAAGACATAACGCGCCCAAACGCCTGAGTTGAGACCGGGATATCATTCCTCCAAACATCAAAATTAACTTTGATCAATCCCATATACTTCTCTCGCCTAAAGAAACACCCTAAAAATTCCATACCATCGCTTCCATAAAACCAATTAGCTAAATACACACCAACCATCAACTGGAGATCCAGTCCAGCAAAAATGTTATCCCAATGGAAACCTGCATATACATAATCACACAAACACCATTCTCTCCTAAAGTCTTCACTAGAGAAAAACTCCATATAGCACCAGAGAGACCAAATAAAGAGTAAGTAACTTGGTAGATTCCTTATAAGATCCCACCTCAATGATCTTCCAAAAAGCCACCTGAGAAAACACTTTGCAACCTTATCAAGACGGCATGTGTTTAAACTCCAAGATATTCTCTTACTGGCAAAACGCCTCATCCATAACACCTCATTATTATTGCCTTGCCGCAACCTTATACCAAGGATTAATTTCTTCTTCCCAATCGGGAATCTTTTGCTTGATCTCAACCGAGATCCACAACCCTCCCACACCTTTTTACCCAATCGAAACCAGATCTTGTAGATCTCAAAGGAGATCCTCCACCTTACCAAGATCGACATTCCTAAAGCCCTAGAAAGAAAATCGCCGTCAGGAGCATCGTGCTGTTTTTTTTTTCTCTAAAATATCCAATTTATGGTTTTTATTGTTTATAAAATCAAAATTTTAAAAGTTAACTTTTAATAACAATCAGAATACAAACTGATCCGAAACCGATTCAAACTAGGCCTGGGCATCCAGGTCCTCGAGTCGGGTTCGGGTCAGGCTCGGGTCGGTTCCTATCGGGTCCGGGTCTTTCGGGTCTTGAAAATTTAGACCCATATGGGTACCTATAATTTTTCAGATCGGTCTCGGGTCGGGTCTTACAGGATCCGGGACGGTTCGGGTCTATAATTCCAATACCTGTAAAATACCCCTATGATTTTTCGGATCGGTTTCGGGTCGGGTCTTACAGGATCCGGGTCGGTTCGGGTCTATAATTCCAATACCTGTAAAATACCCGTAATTTTCGGATCCATATCAGGTCCGAATCGGGTCCAGGTATTTAGAATCTAAAAAATACATAACATACCCAAACTCACTCAAATTCAGTCAATATTTTTCATATATATCTAAAATTTTATAAACTAACTTAAATTAAACTATTAATAATTAAAGAAAAAACATTTTTACTCTCTAAATTTTACATTTTAAAATTTTATATTACTTAAAAATGTTACAAATAATAATAAATATTGTTAACAAAAGATATTTCAACTAAATTATAAAATTATAATTTTGGATATACATGTTTATAAGTCGGGTACAAATCGGTTCTTATCGAGACGGGTCTATTCGGGTCGGTTCTTTTCGGATCCGGGTCTATTCGGGTCGGTTCTTTTCGGGTCCGGGTCTATCCGGGTAAAAGAAATTTAGACCCACTAGGTACTTGTAAATTTTCGGGTCGGGTTCGGGTCGAGTATTTTTTGGTCGGTTCCGGTTTGGATCTTTGGGTCCGGGTAAAACGCCCAGACCTAATTCAAACCAAACTAATTATGATTTATTTCAGTTGGAAAAAATCTAGAATCAAATTAACCAGATCAAACCAAATTGATAAATAACCAAAATGCCCACCCCTAAGTTCTAAGATTCCTTCCTTTTTCTTATAAATAGGAAAGTCCCTTCCTCTTTTTCTCTATTAGAGAAAGTTTTAGTGAAGTTCTGCAGAAATTCCAAGAGTCAAACCATCAAGATCCGAAAACCTTAGCCCCCGACAACCACCACCACCACCGCTGGCTGTTCTCTGCCATAGACGTCGATCTGCTTCCCCCTTCGCTCTCTTTTTTCGTTGTCTTTTAGTTCTACACTATAAGTTCATACCTACATCTTCTTTTTCTTCTTCTTCCTTTCAACGATTTTTTACTGAGAGTGGCAAATCTGATTCTTAATCCTTTTCCCTATCTTTTTTTGTGTGTGAGACTGCAGATCTGTGGTTTTGTGGCTGCGTTCTTCTTCCTCTTCTAGATTTGGATATATGTCGTCGAGTAAGAACAAGGTGAGGACCCGACCATTAAATCTACTCATGTCTTGCAAGCCTTCAAGGAGCAGTCCTTGTTAATAAAGTCTATGGCGTAGATTAGATCTATTCGTTTATGTATTGTTTGCTTGATAAAACTATTAGATATGGTTGTTGACTTGTGTTGATGTGATAAAAGCACATAGATATGTTAGGTTAGTAAATGATAAACCAGTTGTGTGAATTGTTGAATGAGACTAAGTGATTGAGAAAAGTGAATTAATGTTGTGTGTGGTTGTGACACCGAGAACGAGTGTGGTCGTGTGGGGATGTGTGGAAGTGTGGGAAGTGGCGCTGGTAGGATCGAGTCATGCCGATCCACTTGAAAGTAAGCCATCCACTTCTTCAACTACAAAGGATCTGCAAGTTCCATCTTGTTCAACACGACGATCCGTTTTGAAGGAAAATGCGAAATTTTTCTAAACAAGTCATACTCAGAAGACAACGGAATCTACAAAAAGAAAAAAAAACTTAGCTTGGTTCTCTGAGGCAATTAATCGAACACTTTGAAGACAATGAGATGAAGAAGAAGAAGACATACACGAGCATCTCCGATCTCGAGTACGAAATCAACAAGCGGTATACGTTCAGAGATTGCACGAACCGATGCGGCCATGTGAGGTCCGTACCATCTCCGGTTAGGGTTACTAGACGCCTTGACCACGGCGTCTCCGATTTCCCTCTCAATCTTCCAGCTCTTAGCCGTTGTCATTTCAACGTAAAATATCTCCCTTTTTTGACTTAAAACCCATAAATACAAAGCACCCTTATGGAACTTAATACCTCGAATGTAAAGCCCATATATAGCCCATTAGACAGAGGATTCTTCTGCATGTCAAGCTCCTGCCACTGAATTTCTCACTAACATGTTCCTGCGTTCCCGTTACATTACCATCAAACTAACATCAACGTTTCAAATTTGTTGGTTATTTGGGTTGTAACCCATAAATTTGTGAATTATATACTTGGATAATGATTGAATCGCGCACGAGGTCACTTTCCTTAAAGAGTATTTCGACCCTATTCCAAGCCTTTGGGTTACACGAAATCCCTTTGTAGGATAAGACAATCAAAGTCACATTCTTGTTCTAGGCTAAGATACAAGAATAACAAATAGA